GTAAAACCCGGGGGCTGGATGTCTGCTCCATGGATCCAAGGGCTTCCTGTGATCAGAGCCACTCGCGGTGAGAACAGCCTGCCCCTGGGGTCCTGGGAGCCCAGCCAGCAGTCAGGGGCACTGAAACAATGGGCTCCTTCATTGTTTGAGAGAAACAAAGGATCTCCCTTTTGGTCCTAAGGTTGTACAAATGTATGGACACTCTCCTTTTCCATAATTGCATCAGTGGCCATGTCTTGGGCAAAATGAATCAATTCAACAAATATTTTGGAAAACCTATGGGTCACTTCTCCTTCCCCAGAAAGCTGCAATCTCAAAAACTCAGTTGGGTGGACAATGACATAAATGAGGCCACTTTAGATTCACTCCCCCATGACAAGGTCACCGGCAGACTTAAACCCAACGTGCCACAGGGAGGGGAGCTGGATGTGCACTGATTGACACCAGCAACTCGTGAAGCCCTCAGTCCCAGGCCCTTCCCTCTCATAACTGCAGGAGTGTGCGAAGAAGGGCACATCGGGCAGGGTCGTGTTCTTGCACTGCTGCTGGAAGCAGTCTTTTGGAGAAAGAGACAGAAAAAGAATCTCCAAATCCATGCAGTAGACCGGGAGCCATGTTTTCTAACGTTGGGAGGAGAACTGGGGTCCAAACAGAGGGACTGGGAACTCCTAGGGGTCTGTCTTCTGATACCCAGCTTGGCCTCTGATTGCCAGCTGAGCCCTGCTCCAGCGGGGTCCACAGCTGGGATTTCCTGGCACAAGTCAGGTGTGTATTTTCTCAGGCATTTCCTTGGCCTGGAGTGTTCTCCTCTGTCTGTCTGTTCGGCCAAGTCATGGCTGACATGAGAGCTTGGGCCTGTCTCCCCAAGGCCAGGAGCCTGGGGGTCTGCCCTGCGCTCCGACAGCAGCCCTTGCGTCCGCCCCACCATCCCCGGCCCTGCTTTCCCTGCACGCTGGCAGCTTCTCTCTCCCTGCTGCCCAAACAGGAGCTCTCTGCAGGCAGATGTTCCCTCCAGGTAGCCAGTGCACACAGTAGGTACTCAACAGAGAGCTTCTTACAAAGAGGATGGAGGCGCCTCTGTTTGGGGAGCCACTGGGACCTGGCTTTTTGGAGGCAGCGAGGCTGAGCCAAACAGCCCTTTCTGTCCGAGTTTCTGGGGGAGAGGGGAAGGTGCAGGCAGCCAAGGAGAGCGTTCTCACGCCAAGCGGGTAATTATGTGTTCTTGGAAGCAGGTTTAATGGGCTGGCTCAGCGCTGCGCTGGGAAGGGGCTCTGAGGCCTGCCGCCTTCAGACGGGACGTGGCTCGGGCAGCCCTTCCACCGGCCAGCTTTAACAAGTGGCCGACGCCTTATGGAAACTTTGGCAAGGCGCTCTGTTTCAGCCCAGCCAGCTTGCACTTCATCGCGTTGCTTTAGCCATCTTTCCCTCCAGCCTGGGAGCACAGGAAGAGAGGAAACTGAAATCCCTGAGCCCGACTCTGCGCCAGGAACCCCGTCAGCAACCCCGCTGTCCGGAGAGTCCTGCGCTGCCCTTGAACGAGGGAGACCCGGAGGCCCGCGCGGCGCCTCCTGGCGGGGGAGAGAGGGAAGCTGAGCATCTTCCCTTCCGCAGCCTGTGCTCTTTCCAAACAGCATCCTTCTCTTTACAAGGCCATTTTTGCTGCACGTCTCACCCCATCCCGAAGCCAAAATTCCCCCACTTAAACAGGATAAACATTCCCATGGCCGAGGAACGCTGTGTTCCCCAGAGGAGATGCAATCACGTTGTTCCTGCCGAGGTTATGTGGGCTTGTGAAATAGAACACTGGGCTGACGGCCTGGACCCGGGCTGGAGGGCGGCCACCCCTCCCCTGCGTCCCCCAGCTGTGCCCTGCAAGGCAGTTGGAGTAACAGAAGGAGCCCAGAGTAGGAATGTGGGTCTAATCTGGACTCTGCCTGAAGTCGCTGGTTTCCCGGGCTCTCTGCTTCCTGCAGCCGACACAAGGCAGCAAGCTTGCTTCAGAAAGCTCAGTCACATCCATGTGAGAAACGATTCTTGTTTTGCTTTCCTGGGCCTTGATTTTTCCATTTGTAATTGGGAATATTCTCTGCAGACAGGAGGGACTCAGAGGAAGAGAAGAAAGTGCCTTTCTGGAGAGACTCTGGGGTATACTTCCCTTGCGCAATCATTCATGCTTTACCCAATCCTTAAACAGCTATTGAGGGTTTATTACGTGTCCGGATTTCTGCCGAGGAATGCAAACACGGAAATCAACCAGGTGACGTGCCCTGTTCGTAAAGGGCTCATAATGTATCCACTCTACTTTAATTTTTTTTAATTTAAATGTTTCATCCTATAGTTAGAAAATTATTCCTACTCCTGCCTCATCATTATGCTTTTTATCATGTTCCCTTAATTCTATGATACATATCGTTCTCCTGTTTGAACATTTTTTAAATCAAGGTGCAGACGATTTTAATTGGCAGCCTTTTCTTCTTTCCTGGTGATGCACAAAACAATGATCCATCTTACAGTTGAGAACATCTTAGATTCAATGAAATATGTTGAAGGATGAAAGTTATTTTTCAGCTGGACTTTTAACGGAATTTACGGCCACTGAATTGAACCCAAGGTCATCCCAGAACACTGCAAGTTCATGCGGGTGTGTCATGTCCTGCAGGTCCCGTGTCTGGACATCTCCTTGCCCCTCATTTTGCATCTGAATGACTTGGAAGGAATCCTACCAACCGGCCGGGATGCTGTAGCACCTCTTGGCCACCAGAGGGCGAGAGTGCATTGGGAAGGGACAGGCTTGAGGGAGGTTTAGGGAGACCGGAGCCTTTCCGGGCGTGCCCCCTCCAGGACAGTCTGAGGTCACTGAAACTCCATCTGCAGGGTCAGAATAGAGGAAAAGCCCCCTTCCAGAACCACAGGAGCACCAGAAAGAGGTGTTGGCTGGATCGGAATGATGTTTGCAGACCCATGCTAAAATCAGCTGTGGTTTAAATGCTGTCTTCCTGGGAATGCGGACAGGTGCCAGACATGGCGAGAGTCCCGCCTGGAGAGTGCAGGGCTGATGGGAGGTCCCAACCTTCTTCAAACACTCAAGACTCATGGGACCCGAGGTGGTTTGTAACGTTCTCCACGGCGGCAGTCACCCATAGCCTGCCTGCCTTCCTTCCTCCTTTTCTTCCTTCCCTCCTTCTCCCTCAGTTAACTGTCTGTTTACTGAACACCTACTATACGCCAGGCACTGTGCAAGGAGCTGGGGACACAGCAATAAACAGAACAAATCCGGTCACTGTCCTCATGCATCTTAAGTTCTGGTGGGAAGATGGATACTATACAAATATACAAATAAATCTATTATTGCTGGGTATAAAAAAATGCAATAAGGAAAAATGCTGGGTCCCATGAGGACATGTGACAGTTCCCATGGTCGGGGGTAGAGCTGGGAGGGCTTCTCTGACAGGTGATAACTGAGGGATGAGTGGGAGTTACCCAGGGAAAGGGGAGGGAGAGGACTTCTCGGCAGAGTGACCAGCATTTGCAAAAGCCCTGAGGGGGAAATGGCTAGGAGGCCAGTGTGGAGCTCAGAGACGAGGGGCGGGAAGAAGAGGGCGGGCTGAAGCACAAAGGAACTCGGTGACGCAGAGCCTTGAGCGCCGTGTTAAAGGCGTGCTTTTCCATCTGTAGCCACTGAAAGGATGTAAACAGGAAACCGGCCTGAGTGGCACCGAGTGCTAATCCAGCTCTGAGCGCCCACGGAGCACAGCCTGGAGGAGAAATCTGAGAAGAAGCGGGGGTATCTTATTGGGGAGTTATTGGAGAAGCGGGAAGAGGTGATGGCAACTAGGTGTGATGTTGGACATCAAGGTGTATTTTAGACACAGAATTCCCCGGTGCAGGGAGTACTGAGTTTGACTCCAGAGTTTTCAGCAGGAGCAGGTTGGAAAGGAGAGGACTTCCCCTGGGATGGGCACCTTTGCGGGAGGAGGGCAGGACTTGGGAAGGGAACATTATGAGTTGTTTCAGGAGCATTAAGTTGAGGCTGCTTCTGGGACATCACGCAAATACAAACAATTAAATCTGTGAATCCAATGCTCAGACTGGGCTGGAAATGTTAGATTTGGGAGTCATTGGTATGTAGATAGACGATGAAGCCATGGCAGCAGGAGCAGTGGGAAAAATTCTAGGTCATCTAAGGCCATGTGCAGCCCCAAAACCACCTCCCAAAGAAACAGTGAAGTGAAGGGAGACATGAGTGAGCTGGCGGGGGCCAGAGATGGATGGTTAAGACAGGAAAGAGGGAAGAATTAAACCATCAGGGAGCAGCCAGACCAAACCTGGAAAACGAGCACGCTGGGCAGAGGTTGGCCCAGAACCAAGTCGCAGCACAGGCCCTGGCCTTGTGGTGGACGGAGAAGGAGCCCTCCGTGGAGGCACCAGTGCACACGGCCTCCCATGGACTGTACCAGAGATGCGGCTATTCTTGGGGAAGGGAAGAGGGGGCGGGAAAGGGCACTGAGGGCAGATGGGAGGCGGGGCACTGGGGGTCAACAGTAAGCAACACAGTATGCATGGCAATTAAGGAAATGAGCTTCTTTTAGACCCCCACTCAGTTGGAAGACCCAGACGCATGTTTGTTTATCAAGGGAAACTCTATGTACAACCAATCACACAATAAGAGAGTACCATGGACAATGTGAAAGGAAGAGAAAAAATATTTTAGTGATCAGAAAAAAAGAGACAGCTATTCTAACTGGGAGATCAAGGAAATGTGCGGAGCAGAAGTGGGCTTCCTTCTGGACTTGGAAGAAGGGGGGGTTTTGAAAGGTCAGGTCTCATGTGGGTGGAGGAATGGCTCCAGGCCCCTCTGGTAGCACACGTGACTGGAACAGTAGGTCCCGTGTGTGTCAGGACAGACCTCAGGCCCCCTTGGGGCTCTACGCAGCCTCCCGCCACCAAGCCCCTCGGGCCCCATCCTGACTCACCTGCCGTTTCCCTTTTCCTTCCACCAGTCGCATGACGGATGAGCAGCCGCCCCAAGGAGATGTCTGACGCTCACACTCACAGCAGCCCTCTCCTGGCAGAGCCACTGTCCTGCAGATACAAACTCTACGAGTCAGAGCTGACCAGCCCCACCTGGCCCTCAAGCCCCCAGGACACACACGCGGCCCTGCCCCTCCTGGAAATGCCTGAAGAAAAGGTGAGGAATGTCCCTCCCCACTTCCCAATGCAGGTGTGAGTGACATAAATGTGGCCAAGGAAGTGCCATGGCCCCAGAAACGCTGCCCTCGCTCAATGCACGCACACCCCCACGATCGGTCCTACTTGGCCTTAGATAGAAAACAGAGCTCAGGGTGCGACGTGATTTTAAGGACAAGTGGAGAATGCACACCCACATATCAGTTTTCCAACCAGTCCCACAAATTTTCCCCCTTAGACCTGCCCCCTTGAATTACCCTATTGTCCTCTAAAGGAGGCCCTCCTTGCAAACATCTGGACTTGGGTTTTTTTTGTGTGGGAAATTTTGGTTTTGTTTGGTTTTGTTTTTTACTATTTCAGTTCCTTTCCTTTGTTATGAGTCAACTCAAATTTTCTATTTCTTCTTGAGTCTGTTTTGGTAGCTTGTGTCTTGCTAAGAATTTATTCAGCCCATCTAGAGTACCGAACTTGTTGGCATACAATTATTCATTTCTTTATAATCCACTTCCTTATAGTCCTTTTTATTTATTTAAGGTTGGTGGTAATGTCCCATCTTTCATTTCTGATTGTAGTAATTTCCATCTTCTCTTTTTTCTTTGTCAAGCTAGTTAAAATTTGTCAAGAACCAACTTTTAGTTTCATTGAATTTTATATTGTTTTTCTATTCTCTATTTAATCTATTTCCACCATAATCTTTATTTTTCCTTTCTTCTACTTGCTTTGGGTTTAATTCACTGCTATTTTTCTAGTTTCTTAAAGTGGAAGGTTAGGTTTTTGAGAACTCTATTCTTTTTTTAACATAGGTATTTATATGTATAAATTTCACTCCATGCACTGATATGGCTTCATCCTGTAAGTTTTGATGTGTTGTGGTTTTGTCTTCATTCATTTCAAAATATTTTCTAATTTCTCTTCTGGTTTCCTTTTTGGTCCATTGATTATTTAGGAGTGTGCTATTTAATTTCCACACATTTTCCAAATATTCTTCTGTTACTGATTTCTAATTTTACTCCATCATGATCAGAGAACCTACTATGTATGTTTTCTATCCCTTTACTGATATTTTTATCAGTAAAAATGTTTTACTCATTTTATGGCTTAACATGGTCTATATTAGAGAAGGTTCCATGTGCTCTAGAAAAGAAGGTGTATTCTGCTCTTGTCGGGTGAAGATTTCCATAGACGTCCATTAGGTCTAGTTAGTTTGTAGTCTTCTATTTCCTTGATCTTCTATCTAGTTATTCTACCCATTTTTTCAGTGGAGTATGGAAGTCTCCAATCATTATTACTGAATTGACTCTTGCTCCTTTCAGTTCTGCCAACTTCTACTTCATATAGTTTGGGGTTTCTTTGTTAGGCATGTGTTTATAATTCTCATATCTTCTTGGTAGAGTGATTCGTTTATCATTATAATTGTCTTCCTTACTTGCTAGTAATAATTTTTGTCTTAGCAAAAGGTCTATTATGCTGACCTTAGTAAAGTCATTCCACCTTTTTTTGTTTTTGGTAACTGCATAATATATCTTTTTCCATCTTTACAATCTATACATTTGAATATAAAGTGTGTCTCTTGTAGACAAGATATAGTTGTATAATTTTTAAAAATCCATTCTGTTAATTCCTGTCTTTAACTGGTGTGTAATCCATTTACATTTAATGTAGTTACTGATAAGGTAGGATTTATGCCTAACATTTTGCCATTTGTTTTCTGTATGTCATATCTTTTCTGTTTTTCTATTATTTTGTTACTGCCATCCTTTGTCTTAAATAGATATTTCCTACTGTATCATTTTAATTCTTCTGTCAGTGTTTTCTATATGTCTTTATTTATTTTCTGAGTAGTTGTCCTGGACATTACAACTAAGATCTTAACTTATAACGATCTAGTTTGGATTAAAACCAACTTAATTACAATAGTATCCAAAAGCCTGGCTCTTATGTGTCTCCTCTGTGCTGTTTTTGTGATACAAATCACATCTTTATACATTGTATGCCCATCAACAGAGACTTACAATTGTTTTATGAAAAGTTCTTTTTTACATCAGAAGGAGAAAAAGAGAATTACCAAAAATACATTTATACTGTCTGTTATTTTTACCTATGTAGTTACCTTTATCAGCGCTCTTTATTTCTTCATATGGACTTGAGATACTAGTGTCCTTTCTAGTGTCCTTTTGTATCAGCCTGAATTATTCATTTTAATGTTTCTTACAAGAAATATTAAAATATTAAAAGACTTACAGGGCAGGTCTGTTAGCAATGAATTTTTTCAGTTTTTATTTATCTATGAATGTCTTAATTTCTCCTTCATTTTAAAAGAATAGTTTTGCTGAATATAGAATTCTTGATTGACAGTCTTTCTTCCAGCACTTTCAATATGTCATTCCACTGCCTTCTGGCCTCCATCGCTTCTGAAGTAAGGTGTTAATTCTATTGAGGATTTTTGTATATAATGACTTGATCTTCTCTTGCTGCTTTCAAGAGTCTACAAAATTACTCTTTGACTTTGAATATTTTATTAAATATTTGGGTGTAGATGTTTTTGGCTTTCTCCTATTGGAAGATTGTTGAACTTCTTGGATGTGTCTATTACTGGTTTTCATCAAATTTGGAAAGTTTTCAGCCTTTCTCTCTCCTCCCCTTCTGGAACTCCCATTATGCATATGGTGGTATACTTGATGGTGTCCCACAGGTCTCTGAGGCTATGTTCATTTTTCACCTTTCTGATTTCTTTCTGTTCCTCGGGCTGAGTCATCTCAGCTGACTTGCCTTCAAGTTTCCCAATTCTTTCTTCTGACCGCGCCAATCTGCTGCTGAGCCCGTCTGGCAAATTTTTTTGTTTCCATTATTCTACTTCTCAGAATTTCTAGTTGTTTCTTTTTTATAATTTCCTCTTGATATTCTCTGTTTGATGAGATCATTCTCATACTTCCCACACTTTCTTTTAGTTCTTTATACATGGTTTTCTTCTGTTCCTTGATAACACTTAAGGTGGTTTTAAATCTTTGTCTAGTAAGTCCAGTGTCTGGGCTTCCTCAGTTTCTGTTGAATTCTTTATTTCCCTTGATTCATCCTTTCTGTTTCTGTGATGTCTCATAATTCTTTGTTAAAAACTGGGTGTCATAAATAATGTGGCAACTCTGGAAATCAGATTCTTTCCTCTCCCCCAGGATTTGTTGTTGCTGGCTTATTTGTTTAATGGCTTTCCTGAAATAATTCTGGAAAGTCTGTATCCTTTTGTAATTTGTAGCTGCTGAAATCTCTGCTTAGCTAGCTTAGTGGTTAGCTAATGGTTGACCAGATATTTCTTTAGATGCCTGGAATCAATAGGATTCTCAGCATTGGTCAAGGAGATCTGTGTGTGTGTTGGAGCATCTTCAACACTTACTCAGGCAATTTTCAACTCTACCTAGCCTCAAATTACTGCTTGAACAGAGATTCAAATTCAGCCAGAGGTGAGAACTTAGGAGATTCTTGGTTATTTTTTGAGCATGCAGACTGTCCTGCGTTTGTGCCAACCTGACACCTGCATGAAGTATTCTAGATTCACAAGACTGTGCACAAGCCTTTCAAAGCCCCTTCTGAAACTCAATCTTCCAGTTTTCCTTTTAAGCTTTTTGATTAGCCTCTTATTTCCCTCAACTGTTATTCACCACCTCAGGCACATTTTTTTCCAGTGTTCTCATTGCTTTTATAGAGGAGAGAATTTAAGGAGGTCCTCCATTCACCATTTCTACTGACATCCTCAAGACATTCAAGTTTTGATGCAGTGATGAGGTTAGAGAAATCCATAGCCCATCAGTGTACACCAGAAATAGAATATGAGCCACACATGTAAGTTTAAATTTCTATTAACCACATTTTAAAAAGTAAAAAGAAGCAGGTGAAATTAATTTTAATAATACATTTTGCTTAACTTAATATATATATGAATATATGTGATATTATTTTAGTATTTAATCAATATAAAAAATCATGGAGATATTTTACACATTCTTTTTTTAAACACTAAGTCTTCAGATCTACTTAGAGCACATCTCAATTCAGATTAGCCACATTTTAAGTGCCAAGAGCCACATGTCCCACTGACTACTGTACAGGACGGCACAGTTTCAGAGCGAGGAATCATGACCAAGGGGTCCATAGGTAGAACTGAGGAAGGTGAAGGATGAAGAAAATAATTGATCTTTATTTTCACTAGCATTTCACTATTTTCACTAGCATTTAATTATAAATATAGGCAATAAGCAACAACCGTATTAGTAGCACCTGAGATTTTTGTCATTGTCACAGATTGGGTTCCTCTGGAAAGCTGGCTCTGAGATGGAGATTTGCATGTAAGAAACTGGCTTAAAATTGTAAAGGGTATGTCCTTGGGGTCAATACTTGTACAGACATAAAAGCAGCAGGATGGGCTGTGACACAGTCAGAGTAAAGCCCTCAGATGCCCCTTTGGTGACTTCTGGAGCTGGAATGACCCTACAAAGTCCTGAGTTGGGGTGAGCAGCTCCCACAGATTCACTCATCACTACTTCGAAATTATAATTTGTATTGGATCTGCTGCCCCTGTATTGATATCAGGTTTTTTTTTAATATTGTGATCACTGCTTTTCAATATAATTGGTTTCATGGCAATCCTATTTACATTTACAAATCATTTACAAACATTCTGGAAAGAAGTCCACAGGCTTGCCGAAGTGCCAAAGGAATCAGCGGCAAAAAGGCTAAGATCCCTGCTGTGAAGAATGTGTGGTAGTCCTGGGAAGAGCAGGGCGTGGGGGCGCCCTCGACAGCGTTAGACTGTGGACATTTATCTTAAGATCCTTCTTTATCAAAAAATTTGACCGTCTTCCCCACCCCCAAATGCCCCTGCTCTCAAGAAGCAAAACGATTTGATATTTTGTCATGGCTTCTCCTGAAAGGATCTCCGGTCATCCAACGAAGAAAGCCACATTGTGAAGATTGAGAAACCCAATGAAAAGGGAAGAAGGAGAGAGAGTGAGGCAGCCCCTCGGAGCTCCGCAGGCCGGCGGGGCATCAACATCTTTCAGGCTGTGGGCTACCTCACAGGCGAGATGAAGGAGTTCCGGAACTGGCTGAAAGGTAGGCAGATGCCCAGGGAAGAGGCAGCCAGGCCGGGCCAGGGAGGGAGACAGCCCTCCCTCCAGCTGGGACCGCAGAAGCTGCTCCCTCACTCACTCATGGGAAAGGCCCCCACATTTGAGGAGCTCCAGCCCTGAGTTGGCTCCGGGTGGGCGTCATGTATCCTCCTGCCTGAATTCCCATGGTTTCGGGGTCAAATGCATTTCACTGATTTTACTTCTTTACAAATTCTTTACTCCTATGTGGAGCAGATATAGGACAGCCACATTAGCCATCATATGAGCCACTTTTCAAACAAGCCAAATGGCCATTCCTTCCCTCTTTCCACAGACGTTTTTTTACGCGCCAAGAAAATATTGGCACCACCCTGCCCAGGGTTCCAAGTTCTCTCCTTTCAACATCATTCTTCTGTTGGTTTTCCAAAACCAAAGGTGGCAACAAATACCCCTGCCCTCCCTGCCCACACCGGGCCCCCACCTGTGGAGGTTGTCCTGGAAACCAAGCCAGAGAATGAATAAGACAGAACGTATGTCAGTGCGTAACCCAACGCTGATTTCACAGCTGGGCTAAAATCGTTTCTTTCCTGGCTTTTTTTCCTTCAGACTACTTTCTGTTGCTGCTCAGATACCAGCCCTCCACTGAGTCATGCAGCACTACACAAAAACACTGTCCACCCCTCCCCACCCCTGCCCTTGGACCAGTGCATTTCCCTTGGAATGTTCCTGGGGCTTCCTCGCCAGCCCAGCCGATGGCTGGAACAGTGTTAAATTGGTCTCAGCGTGATGCCTCAGTCTACATGGCAAAACTAACACCCACCGTGGACCGATTGCCAGGCCGCTCAGAGACTTGGGCTGGGCGCCAGGCTGAATGAGGGGAACCGTCCTGGCTGGCGCATCCGTGTCTTCCTTGGTTGCCACGCCAACCAGTGGTCCAGCAGGGAAGCACAGGCTGGCCCCTGCTGATGACTCTGCCTGTCTGTTTCAGATAAGCCCCTGGCCCTGCAGTTCACAGACTGGGTTCTGCGGGGCAGCGCTCAGGTGATGTTCGCCAACAACCCTCTCAGCGGGCTCGTCATCTTCATGGGGCTCCTGATCCAGAATCCCTGGTGGGCGATCTCCGGGGGCCTGGGGACAGTGATGTCAACTGTAAGTGCCCTCATCTTGAGCCAGGACAGGTAGGTTCCTCTCTCTGGGGGTCTAGGGGTCTTGGGGCAGACAAGGTGGAGAAGTGTTGACTTGGGTGATCAGCCAACCTTATCCCAGGATCAGCCAACCACAGTCTCCTGAGTATCAACTGTGGGCATGTCGCTGGGGTTCTTTACTGCATTAAACGGCTCCTGTGCTCACAGCAAACAGTGCCAGGGTCCATTCGGCTGTAGAGCGTTCTGCAAACACTCCCCTGAAGGCAGGTGCCGAGGAACAGTCAAGCTGGTCTTCCTTCATGGAGCCTACAGTCTAGTTGAGGGACATCAGACTAACAGGCAAGAAATGTCTCAGAATCGCCCAAGGCAACGTAGGCTGGAGAGCTCACAGAAGGCAGATTTCAGCCAGCGCTGGGAGGGCAGGGTAGGGCGGGCAGCCCTTGAGCTCGTAACACGGATGCAGGAGACGGGGAGGCGAGAGGAGGAGAGGGCAGCGCGGGAGGTGGCCTGCGGGAGGGGAACACACAGGAGCACAGGAGGCAGGGGGCAGGCCTGGGGGAGGGCCAGCTCTGCCCCGGTGCCCACAAGGCCCAGTGACAACAACGGGCAGCTCCTTACAGACCTGGACCATGTCCTCAGACTTCGCCATGTGCGGTTCCAGTAGCGCCCAGGCTTCCCTGATGGCCGCCATCACCTAGAATGATTGCTAAGAAATGTCGTTTCTCCACCCCCCCCACTTGCCCTCCCTCCCAGAGAGAGTCTGATTCAGTGGACCTGGGGGTGGGGGTGTTTTTAGCAAGATTCTCCTGGGTGCTTCTGATGATCAGAGAAGTTTGGGAATGCCCATGTTCTTAGTGTTTTCCAAATCTGGAGTCACCAACCAATTTTTAGATCATGAATTAATTGTCAACAGCTTCATTGCCAACAGGTCAGTACCATGTTCTACATCACAGGCTCAAAGCTGTAGGTGCCCCACACAGCGTCCTTACACACACAGCCTCCCGAGAAGCCCCAGCTTCACCACTGTCTCCAGCGAACCACTGACGCAGCTTCATGTCCTGATCATAACCTCCGCCATCCCCCCCACTCCCCCTCCCCACTGCTTCCCCCCACCTCCACTCCCCACCCTTAACTCTACTACCCCACCCCCACTAGCCCGAGACTGTAATTTACAACCACAGCTTCAAGTTCAGCAACACTGATGCTCAGAGTCCTGATGGAACATGATCCTAACGAAGGTCTCTGGGGCGTTGAGACTGAACCTAGCTGTATATTTTTGATGGGCAGGGCAGGGATGTAAAGTAACGTATTTCCTTTGACAGTCAAACCCGAAGCCATCAAAGTTTTGGTAAAGAAGAGTTCTGGGAGGGGACTCTCCACGGGGAAGGGCAGCTGTGAAGGCAGCCCTGAGATGTCCCCCTAATTTGATCTCCCCTGGGTCCCCTCATTTGATACCTGCATTTCCTACACACCCAACCACTGGGGCTGAGATCCTCCCCCAATATGAGTCAATGGTCTTTGCTCAGTTTGCCTAAAGCAGCTGGTATTAAAACCCACAAGTACTAAATTCCAACATGGTGCAGAAATGGGAAAATATAAAAAATGCAAACACATTTAAAAATAATGATTTCCCAAAACACAGATCTCTCAGGTAATTTTTCTAGTCCCAAGGAGATTCTGAACACCAAGGTCTTCCCTGCTGCCCCCGTTCCTCCTCAGCCCCCTGCCTGCTTCCAGCTGCCCCGTATCTTCCCAGCCTTAGAGCAGCCGAAGACCCAGCTGTCCTGTGTCCCATACAAATGTCCCCCCCAAAGTGCCCCGGGTCCATTTTTTCTTTTTGGAAACTGTCTAGAGAGCCTGTCCCACCCTCTCCCTGCTCTCTCATCGAGCTGAGCTGATCTCCTGGTCACTGCAGAGCTGAAGGCCGCACTGTTCAGACCTAAGCTGCAGCCTCTGCTGGGCAGGAGCCTCCTCTCCCTGGAGCTCCTTCCTCCGCCACAGGGCACCACACTTCCAGAGGCCCCTGCCTCCAAGAACAGTCAGTGCCTGCTGGGCTGTAACACGCACACACACCTGGTCAGCCTCCGCTCACCTGGCCCTTTGCGTGCACCGGACACTGTTGACTGTTGCTAACACTGATGCCAGACAAGCTGGGCCTCATGCAACTTCCAGTGGAGGGCGGGACAGACCACAGCACGCAAAGCTCATTCCCTCGCGGGGTCTCGCAGTGTGATTTGCCCAGTGCCATCCCTCACCCCGTCCCTCTCTCCCCTCCCCCAGCAGAGCAATGGGCAAGGTCACGGGCAGTGTTCGTGCGGATCAGGGAGAGAAGTTTAGGTGCACACAGGCAGCCCTGATGAAGCGGAAGGAGGCAACAGACTCCAGCTGGGCCTCTACGAAGCCTCTGAGCCCTCCTGCCGGGCCGTGGGGAGGGACGTGGGCATCACGGTGGACTCCGCGCGTCCACTCTGGGGCAGGCATCAGCGAGGAGCAGTGCCCAAACTCAGACAGTCAGTGTCACTTAGTAAAGTCAGAACACCCTCTCCCCCTCCTTTCCTCCCTCCCTTCCTCCTCCAGCCCTGTCTCTTTCACACACACACACACACACACACACCTTCCCAGTGCCACATCTCAGGCTTCTAGTAGATTTCCCGATGTGTCTAACAATCTAGACCACACCCCTGAGAAGCAAAGGAGAGCTTAGACACAGACGAAGTGCATCATTTAATTCTGGATCAGCAAGTGTAATCGAAGCGTATGCGTGTGTGCGTGTGCGTGTGTGTGTGTGTGTGACTGTGGGATCTAGAAAGATTCCGGCAGCTGTGTGACCCCCCAGCATTTACTGAGTACCAGGCGGGACGGGCCCAGGAGGCACCACCGAATTCTCTGTTTCCACCCCCAGGGCTGCGGTCGCCGCGGGCCTCCACGGGTACAACGGGATGCTGGTGGGGATGCTGACCGCCGTGTTCTCCGCCAAGTCTGACTATTACTGGTGGCTTCTGCTTCCTGTGACCCTCACGGCCATGTCCTGGTGAGGCACCTCCTCCTTTCTGCTCCCAGACCTACGGGGCCCCAAGGTGCTGTGTCTGACTGGAGGGAACGTGCGCTGTCATGGGGCCCGATGTCCTCGCAGTCGGGCTGGCTTGTCTCGCAAGACACCCTGGGAGTCCATGCGTTCAGCTGCAATACAAGGGAGTCATTTTGAATTTGGAAAAATAGGGACCTTTTAAAGAGCAAAGACCACATGTTTGATTTTTTTTTAATCTCTGTGGATAATCTCCTCTGAAGGGTAGGCTTCATGATCATGGCTGACATTTACTGAGTATTTTCTACAAGCCAGGCACAGTGCTAAGCAAGGCAGTCCCCAGTTTACAGAGGGGAAGACTGAGGCACACAGAGGTTACATACTCGCCCCAGGTGCTGAACCCAGAGTCCGCACCCAACTCCAGGTGATGTGGGGCTCACCTCTCTTGTGGACTAACCAGGACCCCAGAGCTGAAACTCACTTGTGATAGAATCAGAGGGCTTTCTTGGAACAAAATGTCTGTATTTAAAACATAGGATCTTTGAACCAGAAGCGTCTTGCTGCGCCATCACCTCATTTTCACGCCATCATCAAGAAGTCAAGATGAAGGGTATTAGCGACAAATCGGCCTTTTACACACAGGACCCTCGGTTCGCTGGCACCTGCCCCGGATCTGTAGCGCCCAAGGGTCTGCTCTCGCGCCCCCGTTACGAGGTGCCCCCTTGGCCCCCAGCCCCCGAGCTCTACAACCTACACCCCCACTGATTCCTAACATCTCCCTTTGGTTTCAAAGTCTGGAGTTACTAAAACCGGTTAGTTCAATTTCCTTAAGAGCTGTTCCATTACATTTTAGTAGTGCTTGCAAATAAATTACCGCATTAAGCATTCTGGGCAATGTATGTTTCTCCTTAGGGGCTCTTCCTTAATCTCCCAGGACAAAAAGTGATGGCAGGCATTTCTGTGGGGATTTCCTTACTGCCCCCACGTGCCAGGCCCGAGGAGGAGGAGGAGAACTTGCCTTCATGTGCGTACATTGGGTTTATAACAATGTGGAGAAGCCCCCTAGCACAGCCCCTCGGCCAAGGCACAGCGGGGCGGCAGGTCTGCAGTGCCCACCCCCACCCTCACCTCCCAATTTAAAAGGCAAAAAAGCCCACTGTGCCCTACGCTGGAGGAACTCTGTGCACTATACTGTGGGGCTCCACTAATCCACTCATGCGGTCCTGGAAATCCAATCCACAGGGTACATACTAGCGGAGCCAGAATTATCCAGCAAACAAACATTTGCTGAGCACCTGCTCCGGGCAGAGACTGTTCCAGATGCCGAGGAAAGTTGGGAGCAAGAGAAGGTCTCCATCCTCTTGGAGATCACATTCTTCTTGGCAAAGAGAGACAATCACAACTTGTTCCTTAATAAGATCATTTCAAGATGCTACACACACATCGCAAACAAACGTATGGTTACAGGGGGCAGGGGAAAGGGGGTGGGAAGGGATAAATTGGGAGTTCAAGATTTGCAAATATTTAACTACCATATGTGAACTAGATTAGAAAAACAAGTTTCTTCTGTATAGCACAGGGAACTATATTCAATATCTGATAGTAACCTTTAATGAAAAGAAGATGAAAAATGAATCTGTGTGTGTATATGTGTGACTGAAACATTATGCTGTACACCAGAAACTGACACATTGTAACCGACTATATACTTCAACAAAAATAAATAAATAAATAGCATTTGAAATAGACTGCAAAAAAAAACCAAAAAACAAAAAAAAAGATGTGAGAAGTGCTTCGAGGAAAGCAAAACAGGGCAGATGAGACAGACAGTGATTCCAGATGTGGGTGGTCAGGAAAAGCCATTTTGCAGAGGTGACATTTGAACTGTCACCTAAAGGGTGAGAGGGTACCTGCCACCCCTAGATCTGGGTGAGGTCTGTTGCAGGCAGAAGCAGCAGCACATGCAAAGACCCCACTGGAGGAGTAGGATGTGTTTGAGAAACAAGACCAGTGGGGCTGAAGCCCAGTGAATGAAGGAGGCAGGGCAGGAGGTGAGGACAGAAGTGGATGAAGGTCAAGTCCCCACACCTTGTAGATCCAGGAAGCCTCTTCCTGTTTATTACAACTGTGATGGGAAGCAGTTAAAGGGTTTTAAATTTCAACAAATCACTCTGCTTGCAGTGTGGGGAATGGATTTTAGCTGGAGTAGGAATGGATGCTGGAAGCCTAGTTAGGAGTCTGATGCAAAACCCAAAGAGGGATGGGACTGGTTTGGACTAGGGTGATGTCCATGAAGGTGATGAGAAGTGATTGGGCTTGGGGTCTATGTTAAGGAAGGGAAAGGCAGCAGGACTTCCTGGAAGGCGGTGGAGTAGGAGCAGAGGAAAGGAAAGAAGATTCGGGACGCTCCTCTCATCTGCCTGAGCACCTGGGTTGATGGAGACTGAAAGAAATACTGGTTGGTGGTGGGAGAATGGATGCAAGTCAACAGTTCTGCTGGGACGTATTAAACTTTAGGTTTCCAACTAGAGATGTTGAGAAGGCAGGTGAATGTGCAAATCTGGAACTTTGGGATATGGTCAAAATTTGGAAGATGGAAGCATACAGAAGACATTTCATCAGTAGAACGAAAGGCTATCACCCAGAAAGAGAAGAGTGAGAAAGAGAAGACCCAAGACAGAGCTGTGAGATCTTCCAACATTCAAATACCTGGCAGAAGAGGGGAAGGACCATGGAAGGGGGCTTGAGAAAGAACAGCTAAACTAAGTGCAGAGTCGGAGCAGCCCTGACAGAAAGGGTTTCAATCCAGTCTGAGGATCCAGCTGTCAGATGAAAGGAGCAGAGAGTGACCGTGCACTTTGCAAGGTGGATGTCATTGGCGAACTGGACAAGAGCTGTTTCTGTGGCATTAGGAGAACACACGCCTTATGGGGGTGGGTTTGGGAAAGAATAGGGGTAGGAAGATGGGGGATAGCAAAGACAGACTCGTTTTGAGGAGTATGGCCATGAAAGGGGGCAAAGCAATGGAGCAAAGTTGGAGCAGAAATCAGGTTAATGGGGAAGGATTTTTAAGGTAGAAGGTACTAGAGCACGTTGCATATTTGTGAGAATGATCCAGAGGAAAAGGAGAGACTGAAGCTGCAGGAGAAAGGACAGAACTGCAGGAATGAAGTGTTTGAGATGGACTGGATTTCAAAGTTCAAAGAAAAGAATTGGTCTGAAGAATTGCGGACACTTCCATTCCAGGAAAAAGGCAAAGAATGAAGCAGAGTATAAATCTTATGGTTGAACAGATGAAGCATTTCTCATCTCATCATTTCTATTTTCTTAATGAAGTAAAGCAAGGTGGTTAGCTGAAATTACAGGGAAGCAGAGAGTGAAGATTTGAGGACAAAAGAGAAAATGTGAAATAGTTGTCTGAGCAAGCTGGAGAGTTAATTTGCTTGGGATGTGTGGCAGGGTTTTCAAGAAGTCTTAAACGCCCATTTGAGATTCATTGTCCTTAATTAAAAGTAAACCAATCAACCAGATCATGTAAGTTCACGTATGGTCTGGCAGCTCACTGTGTGTGGGAGACACAGGGTACTGGGTGCCAGGTGGCTGGTGCCGTCAAAGGAAACTGAGGCTAAGGAAGGTTAATTACCTAACGTTGCTCACTCAGCCTGTAAGTCAGGGTAGGAGTTAGAATTTGTGTTCGTCCCAGCTCCATCTTTCTCCAAAATCCATGCTCTCTCCAAAGAAGAGACCAAGAGGACAGAGGATACAATGAACTGAAGGTTTCATTTTCACATGGTTGTTCCCAGAGTAGCTCAACATACTTCAGCCGAGTTCAAGCCCGCGTGTTTCCCATGTGCCAGAGCAGCCTCCTCCTGGAAGCTTATCTAAAATATACATTCTGAATGCCATCACAGCCCAGGATACATCGTGACGTACAGCATAATGATCCAAAGGCAGCACGCGACATGTTTGTAAAGATTAGATTCTGTTCAGTCTTCTTGGTTTAAGAAACAAGGAAATGTGTGACTTCTTTTATAAAGGTTTTCTATTGAAAACAAGTTACCGTGCTTTTAAATTTTGCTTCCCAAAGATGGAGACTTATACTGAACACCTTATTTCCAGTTCCAGATCAGCAGACCACTAGTCTCAAGGGAGCCAGGAGTGGCTGTGCCGAAGAAAGGGGACATGGAGTGGTACAGTGACCAGAGCTGAAGAGACGGTATCGACTTAAGGATCGTCAAACGATCAATCCTTTGTCTCTTCCATCTTCCAGCCCCGTCATTTCCAGTGCCTTAAGTTCTGTCTTCAGCAAGTGGGACCTCCCGGTCTTCACGCTGCCCTTCAACATCGCCGTGACCCTGTACCTGGCGGCCACGGGCCACTACAACCTCTTCTTCCCCATGACACTGGTGGAGCCCGTGTCTTCAGTGCCCAACATCACCTGGACAGAGATTGAGATGCCCTTGGTAAGTCACCAATGGCAGGTGTGTGGGGCCCCGATCTCAGCGTAGAACTCCTCGCTCACCAGTCTGTGCATGACCCAGGCTCTCGGCATCTCTAGATGCATCTCCACAGACGATGGGTCATAGCAGAGAAGAGGACAGGACGGGGTCGCTGCCACTTCCATATGTTCTTTCAGTAAACTCTTACTTGACACCTTATGTGTGTCGGGCACTTTATCCGACACTGGGAACTCTCGGAGAATAACACAACATTCCTGCCTTTGTGACGCTTGCACTCTGCTCAGAGCAACAGATAAGAAACGAGTGTACAGATGAGGACTAAGTTGACGATACAGAATGGTGGGACTGAGGGAGAAATATTAAATTAGATGGATAGTTGTGTAAAAGGGGCAAGACACTGAAATAATGGTTAAAATCAAGGTTTCAAGATATCAGTAGAAGATGGGGGTAAATTTTTGTGTGTTTTCCATAGCAATGGTTCTTAAGCAGGGGTGATTCTGCCCTCCTGTGGAGAGCAAATGTCTGCAGAAATGTCTTAATTGTCAAAACTGGGGAGCCGGGGTACCACTGGCATCTCGTGGGTAGATGCCAGGGAAGCTGCTAAGCGTCTTACAGTGTACAGATCAGCTCCCCTGCCCCCCTCCCACAGCAAAGAACCAACCAGCCCCAAATGTCAATAATGCCAAAGGTGAGGAACCCTGCTGTAGATCCTATAATCACACGTGTACACAGTCTTTCATTCTACCCATCTAGAGGTGTCCACAGACGTCAGAGATAAAGGGATATAATAAAAATCTAGCATAAGACTACATATAGAAAACTGTAAAATTTTGACCATAACGAACGTAGAGATAACTAACAGCTTACACTGAAGCAAGTTTATTATGTTTCAATGTTTCAAGCCCTCAACTTACAAGCTCGTTTAACCCTCATCATAACCCAATATTGTAATTACTGTCATCACCCCATTTTACAGATGACAAAACTAAGGCACAGAGACGGTTAGTTGCACAAGGTCAAACTGTAGCTAATGCCTCAGATATTATCCATGTGATCTGACTTCCACGCCCTCCCTACCCAGCCTGGTCCTTCATCTAGATGTGTTTGAACCTCTGTGTTGTCCCAGTGCTGGTCACTCAGCTCCAGGGCCACCGCTCCCAGGTGGGGTGGTAGCTCGGGTCCTCCAGGGTGAGCCCCACCCTGAGCCTGAACCACCTGGACAAGGAAAGGCCCCCCTGCCCCTAGTGGCAAACGCTGCTGCCCACAATATCAAAACTTTTTAAAGTTTTTGTCTTTTTGAGTTTTATCTGGGGCTGGGGTTGGGGCTGGAGTGGGATCAGAGGCAGAGCTAGGTCCTAAATCCAAGAAAATGGAAAAGTCAGAGCCCTGCACTTAGGGGAAAGCCCATCTTCTCAAATGGAAAACTGCGGGAATCAGAGCAGGGGCAAGACTAACTTTGAATCATCAACAATCAGCCATCTGGCAACTGGGTTCATGCCTCAGGGGCACAACCCGCTGTCCCCAAGCCCCGCCTGCGAGGCACGGTCCGAATGACAGCTGCAGGGACCTGTGGCGCTTCCAGAGAGGCCTACGGAGCCCCACACCCGCCCTGCAGGGGGCGCTACTGTACCATCCTGCACTGAGGGGACCAGAGTGGAGAGAGCCACACAGAGGAGGTGCCTCTTGTTCATCTTCAAAACAGTTAAAAAGTGGTGGGAGCCACATCCACGTACCCTGAGGCCCATGCTCACCTTCTGAGCACCCCTCCACCACCACCACTCTGACCACAGGCTCCTCTTCTGCACCATCCAGATCTGAGTTTGGAAGAATCAAAGCCATTTTCCTCTTTCTCTTTAAAACAATGGCGGGGGGGGGGGAGATTGACTTCTTTTTTGTTTAGCCAGCTTGTTGTTGTTACGCAAGGATGAGCCGGAGCACGTAGGAGGTCAGTGCCTAGTAAATTTCCACCACACACCTGAGCGCACCGCGGCGCTGGCTGTGGCCTGGAGAGCAGTGTGGAGGAGCCGGGACCACCGTTCGTTCACCGGGCCTAGTTTTAGATCCTGGCGGAGCTTCATTCTGACCCCAGGCTCCCCTCCAAGGCAGCTTGCTCTCTCATTCCTCTCATTCTTGCCTGCTTGGGCTTTAAACCTGGGTTCCGCTCCCAGACGGGAAGGCGGGAGTCAGGTTCCCCGCAGCATCCTGCACGCCCCAGGCATGCGGAGTCACGGAATATTCACTGGGTAGATTTCCAGCCTGTCCCCATCCTGCAGCTGAGTTCCCTGAACTGGTGCAAAGCGGGTTTT